CCATGCTGCAAATGAACATGACTGCCATAATTTTTCTTTTCATTGCGCATCTTTCTCTCGCATGCCTTCTCTTGCAAGTACGTGACTGATGATACACTGAAGAGAAACTGGGACTGAGATGTCGGAAACTGTTCATCATTGCCAGAATCCACATGATGCAAATGCAAACAACTGTCATCATTGACACTTCCAGCAACCTGCCTTCAGCGACCTCAGAGAGAGCCTTGCAACCAGTCCATAGGGCTCCAACCAAAGATGCTACAAATGTTCTGCTTGGGGACATACTCCATGCTATCAATCCAACCAACATCAAAGCGTAGTGCTCAAACAACAGGCTGGACCTTCTTACAACCATGACATAGTCGATGCCAAAGCCGACTCCAAAGTCCATGCTGTAGTGCGCCGCCTTGATTGTATACTTCACCAAAGCCATGAAGACCGTCAGGAAGAAGTTCAGGTCGAAGTTGAAGACGAAGAAGTGAACCACGTTGAAGTCCATGTCGAAGTCAATGTAGGGCTCCACGTTGATGTCCTCGGTGTAGATCACGCTGTCGAAGTACCCAATGTCCAAGATGTCCATGTTGGGGACCAAGTCGTTGAAGTTCAGGAAATGGTTGCTCCTGAGCTTGATGTTGTTGAACTCCATGTAGTTTCCTGTTGGGGTGAGCAAGTGCCGCCACTTCTCATAGCTTACTGCGCCTTCGCTCCTCTCGCTTTCAAACCGGTCACATCCTCCAAGTGAGTACTGTGCTGCCACACCAGGAAAACTGACATCATGATTGGGCTCATGGGCAGTCAAAAGCTTGGACGTCTCATTCACTACTTTGGAACCGTTCTCACACAAACAGCCAGCTCCAATGTTGCAGTCGTTGGTGCATGGAAACTCCTCAAATCTCGTTTCACACCTCACTGGTGTGCCATTCTCACAAACTTCTGTTCCCATGTCTAGGCCAGCAACTTTTGGTGTTCTGCATGAACTCTGTGACACTCTGTTCTCTACCTCACTGCGTCTTACATGCTGCCTCACAGGCTGTTCTAGTAGAGCTCCTCTTTGCTGTGTCACATACCGCACATTTCTCTCATGGTGTACACCTTCTGCATGTGCTACGCGTTCTACATAGTATGTATATTCTTCTACCTGTGCTATATGCTGGAGGTTGTATCGCGCGCGTTGACCAACTACTCCATACTGACTAGCACACTCATCCTCTTCAAACGGGATTTCGAATTTCTGGCTGCCACGTTCATCATCACATGTCATGCCTGGTTTGCGCAGATTCATCAAAGCTCTGCTCATCAGGCCATTTGGTTCATATTTCTCATTTTCATCGTGGCAAACTCCAAACTGCAAAAACACCAACACCAGCAGCTCAAAAACCGCTAGCAACGACGCCATGACTGCTCTGATCTTTCTCAGAACTCCGCTGGCATCTAAAAAGACAGCACACCGCTCACCCGCCTATTTCACCTTGAGCCACCATTTGTGGCGTGTCATTCTTGCTCAGGGGCCATTGATGCAACAGTCTGTCACACTGATAAGAACAGATACGCGCCTGTACCTGGCAGAGACTGAGTTCATGTGCTAAACATTCAGACAAACCCTAAACCAGAGGAAACCAGAGGAAACCGAAGGAAACCAAAGAAAAACTATAGAATCTACCAGCCCCAAACCAAAGAAAATCTAAGGAAACCAAAGGAAAACTATAGAATCTACCAGCCCCAAACCCAAAAAAATAAAAGGAAACCAAAGGAAACCAAAGGAAACCGAAGGAACCCGAAGGAACCCGAAGGAACCCGAAGGAACCCGAAGGAAACCGAAGGAAACCGAAGGAAACCGAAGGAAACCGAAGGAAACCGAAGGAAACCGAAGGAAACCGAAGGAAACCGAAGGAAACCGAAGGAAACCGAAGGAAACCGAAAGCAAATCAAAGGACACCCTGCCGTGAAGAATGCGTGTTCCAGTGATGTTACCAAAGAGTTCCTGTGAAAATGTGACGCGCACACACACACACAGCAACAACAGCAACAACAACAGCAACAACAACAACAACAACAACGACGACGACGACAACAACGACAACGTGAAAATTTGATAATTCGTTTCCTCATGGTTTTGAGACGGAAGAAAATGTTGCGATCCCTTGTGTGGTTTTGTTTCCTGCAGCTTGGGTTCTTGATGCATTTTGGGTTCGCCATAAAACGGATTTGCATCGGTTTTTGGATTTGTTAAGATGCCGACGGCCCATCAAAACCAATGGTTTGTGTGCAAATTGGGTCCTACTCGTAGATACTGAAAATTATTTTGATGAAAAAAATCAACGCCCTGTCTGATTTTTCTTTTGAAAAAACTTGTCCAAAGTAGACGATTCAGGCTTAACATTTTGTCGAGAAAACTCGAGCCCACTGGCTGGTTCCAACCCCACCAACCTAATTCGATCGGCGATTTTTACCCAGCATCGATAAAGCAAACAATCAAATCGATTGCGGCTATGCGGCTTTTCTTCCCCTACAGAGTGTCGCCCACCAACCAGCGTATAAAATTTGCGGAAGACATTTTTCCGTATTTTTTTTTGGAAGATAGGAATCCCTTTTGTTGCCAAGGGGACAGTATTTGATCAGATTGTGGGATGACACAAGGCCAAGGTGTGGGGACCGTGGGAAGAACCCGTTGTGACCTTCCATTTTTTTTTAAATTCCAATAGTAACAAATTGATCAGTTTGAGGGACTTGCCTATTATAACAGTCAAATGTTTTTCCGTGTTTTTACCCAGTGTTTTTTCATTGCGTAAACGGATTCCCCCACATTTTTTAAATTTTATGTAATTTTTGTCCGCTTTACTTGCTAACATGCTACTATGCTGCCGGTCAGTAGTCCAAAATCCTGCCGGCGACATGAAAATGTCCTAGCTGCAGTAAACAGATTCATAAAATCGGCTTGCAGGGGATGCATGTCGCAATGTCATTACTCTAATGTTGGCCCTGGGCTAATCACCCCCACCCCGCATCGATAAAACAATCAATCAATTCAATTGCCCTGACTATGTCGTTTTTCCTTCCTCTAGAGGGTGTCATAGGGTTTCTCTCCCCAACGGCTTTGTGAAATTTGCAGAAAACAAATATAATTTACCACACCCTTGGAATATGAATCCGTTTTGTTCTCGGTTGTAGGAAGAAAATCACTGGTAAATGAACGTTTTAATGAAACATATTTTTGTAAATAAACTTTTTGGTTGAACAAATTGAGAAACCTTTGCAAATGAACGTTTTAGTCGGCAAAAAACTTGTAAATTGAAACTCGCGGGAAAATCTCTGGCAAAAAAAAGAGTGACAATTCTAATTCCGACCAATTACGCTGGCCAATTGGATGGAATGGGATCACTCGTATTTGAGAACCTGCCGCTAGTAACACTACTTATTTTGAACATCAGTGGTGCCTGGATGCATATCGGACCCTGATCTGTCGAACCGACATGATCCAAGAATCCGATACGCAATAAAGAATTTACAGTGATTGACGTCCAGTAAGCAGACTTCCCGCCTAGCCAGTAATAAGACGATTCTTCTTCGGGGGTTTCACAGTAACCGGCACTGAAATGTATTTCTTCAAACCTGGTGGTTGGGTACTGTAAAGGTAGCTTGCCTACCCCGTGTCTTCAAGAAATGATAGGTTCTCTTTGGAAACACGGTGCCAATCCAAGGACATGTTTAATTTTCCTTTTTCCTGCCACGTCCGGGAAAAAAGAGATATTGCTTCCGCTTCCTTTCTCTTTATTTTTTTGGTTTTTGCATTTATTTATTTTTGAAACATGGTTTCGTCTCTTCTTCCCTTTTTTATTTTCTCATTCCTCTCTTCCTCTCTTCCTTTCCTCTTCCTTTCCGCTTGCTTTCCTCAACAGTTCCTTTTCCTTCTTTTTTCCTCTTCGTTTCCTTTTCCGTCTCTTCTTTTCTTCATTTTTTGTAAAGGATTTGCTCCTCCGTTTTCAAAGGTGCAAAACAATGTGGTGTTTTAGGTCCCTCCAAAAGTTTTTTTTTATTAATCGAGGTCCGTTCGTCGAAATATCTTTGCCTTGGGACTCGTATTGATTCTTGACGAGCGCAGGTGACAGGGCAAAGATGGTCAAAGTATTATTATAATATTTTTTAAAATTATTATTGCTATTATTATTATTATTATGTCCTTTTCCGTGGGGTTTCCACCTTAAAGTGAAGGGGTATTGGTTATGATTCTGCCTGCAACGTTTCCTGCGGGCACGTTGAGGTGAATTTGAAAATCCGGCACGCCGGGTCGCACAAACTCAATTCATACCAATTCACTGTGTCGATGCGGATTGAAAAGGCACCTGCTGGGGAACAACTTCAACTGGAAGGTTCGGTTATACAAAATGAACACGTTGGGCTGTGTCACAATTACAATTATTACATTTTGTTGTGACCTCTTTTCTTTCCACGAAAGACGTGAAACAAACGCGTGATAATTACGGTGGATGACTTGTGAGGTAGCTGCGTCAAATATGACAACTCATACCACGGCAATTATTTGCAAGGGCTCTGGGAGGCCCCTGTCCATGGATGGGATGGGCATGGCTCTGCTGGTGTTTTCTGTCGTCCTTTGTAGCTGCACGCTGCACCATGCTGGATGTCCCCCACAAATCCACAAAATTCGTTCTTCGGCCCCTCCGGTTTTATCCGTTGTGTGTCTGACTCGGACAGTTTGAGATGATGGAAAAGAGTCATGGATGCTGGACAGCACCCGCATTCACCGATTCGGTGCATGAATGATGTCGTTGGTAGCAAGCAAGAACGGAATCCAAGAAAGAACTGTCTCATGAAAAAGAAGGGCAAACAGCATTAAACACACACGCATTTGTCGACAAGGCGTGTTTGCAACGCATTGCCTTGCTAGTGCTCTTGACGCTAGTGCGGGCCCCTGCTGATTGCTTGGCCATGATTGTCCGGATTGGTGCACGTCAAATTTGAACGAGTTCAAGGGGTTTTGGGGCTCAAGACTGCTCAAGGCTGCATTGAAGTCGAAAGGGCCATGACGAGCTTAGATCAGAGACTGCCTGCCTTATCTTTAGTCGAAATCCTGGCCTGCTTGCCAGTGGCCTCGCAACCGCGGATGAAGTCCACCTCCCGAGTTTTTAAAGACATCATGGAGTCCGAGCGCTGTGTTCAGACCAGGCGTTCTCATCCCATTGAGGTGGTGGTTGTGAAACCAAAAACTGGGAAGGGCTTGGCTAAGGTGGCCAGCCGTTTGGTGGATGCTTTTATGAAATCGGATTCTGAATCGACATTGCCGTTGGTCGAGTCCATTCGAGTTGAATGGGAGAAGGCTGAGTTCTACAAATTCCTCCAGCTGCGCGTGGGTGGAGAGCAGGCCCCGCCGCGCCCGTTCGAGCAAGATCTTTACATCAATGGTTTGGATCCCAAAGGGGCAGGGCGTTTGCGCAAAGCTTGGTGGGCATCGGTGCGCAGTGTTCTGGATGGTTTGCCGATCCCACTATCCGCACGGGTCTTGTTGTTGGGAGAGCGGCGTCTAGGAGGACGCGAGGTTGAAAACGGGAGCTTGGTATTTTATCCCCATCCTGTCTGTCGACCCACCTGTTTTCTTCGAAGTTTCTCTGGACAAAAAACAACCCAAAAGGATCCAAAAGGTTTCTGGACAGCTTAGTGCTTAGGGTGGCAATAAGACAACAAATTCACAGCCAATCTGAAAATGGGTCAGTTGCTGAAGTTGGCAGGAAGAAGCTCATATTCTTGGGCCATGGCGCTGGTCTGGACCGGACAAGACTATGGTGTCCTCAAATGCCACCTGGATGCCGCCTATTTGGATTGCACCATGATCTGTAGTGGTGGCATCAAAGAGCAGTATGTAAAGGCGGCATTGGGGGTGTTGCTCCGAAAATCTCACAGGATGAAGACTTTCAACGAGTTTCCATCGCCGTGATTTCAGCATTGCTTTTGGTATTTTTCATCCGTTTTCAGGTTTATTTGCTTCCACTTCACTATGAAATAGTGCCTGCAGCTTCTGAGTTTCATGTGCTTCATTTTTTTTGCACTGGCAACTTTTGCACCGCCAGGTTTGCCGAAGCATTTGAGAGTGCCCTAAATGACATGATGGAACACAAGAAGTGGGAGGAGGATTGGAGCTACCCGCCCATGGGCGAAGGTGATGACGATGAGGATGATCTTGACACCTTCTACGAAGAGGAAACCATGGAGAGTTATTTCCAGGCATTTGAGAAGCCAGATTTGGGCACATGGTGCTTTGGGAAGTGACCCACTTCCGAATGAACCCTTGCAATTCCAGTAGTTTAGGACCGTTGCTGCTCCAGCAACTGCAGTGGGATGCCTTCAAAGATGAGGTTCCTGGGGGGAAAGGGCCAAGGACATTTCACTGCCGCACAGTTTAAAAAAGTGCCCGGTGTGCCGCATGGTGTGCCTCCAAAACATTTGCGGGCCTGAAACCTTTGAGAGGTTGGAACCCAAAAATCGCTATAGCCAAGGCACTTTTGAGCCCAAGATGGCAATAACGTGAACGAGCACACAATTCAAGCTTCAATGTTGGATTTCAATTTTAGCTTTGCACCATTTGCAGCTGGCCGGGGTTGAGAATGGCGGTGATTGCTGGCCAACGATGGCTTGGAATTCTGAACATATTCCACATGTATCACATGTTGTTTGCTTGAAGCGTTTGACACGTGTGAGTAGCCAACTGCATGCTTGCAACATTGGGATTAAAAATTTCTACTTGAGAAACGTGAGCGCGGCAGTGAGCCAAAAACATGAATTCTCCTACATGAAATTGGCTCAATTTGTTGGGTGGCAACGATCCACGTTTCAAAACGCCAGTTTCCGATATTAAGAGCACATTTGAGCTCGCCCGTTTCCAATTCGCATCATGTCACGTCATATGATAATTCAAATTGGCAGAGCAAACGTATGACGTATGCCCGAACAATATCAACCGATGAATTTGAGGAACAACTGCACGAAACCATGGTTCCTCCCGTCAATTGTACTGGTTTCCTATAGTTTTTTTTCCCATCCAATTCTTGGATAAACTGCTCCACCTTGCCGCCCCCGGTGCCATGGCGTGATGCCTCGCATCCCCAAAGCCGCCGGCCGCGCTGCCAACGCTGCTGCGACGCGGCTGCGGCTGGGGAAGCCGCTGCCAGAGGCCCCGGAGGTGGTGCACCTGCAACGGCGGCGCTACGAGCCCGTGACGTCGGATCTGCCACCGGCCACGTGGCGCAACGTGGCTTGGCAGAGGCTGATATCAACGTAGCCGAACGTAGCCCCGGGAGAAACCCAGGGACTGAGCATGGCGGAACCAGGGTTATGACCCCGAGATATGGAGATGATATGCCTGATATGCCATATAATATAATATATATATATATATGTATGTATGTATGTATGTAATGTATGTATGTATGTATGTATGTATGTATTGTATTGTATTGTATTGTATTGTAATGTAATGTAATGTAATGTTATGTAATGTAATGTAATGTAATGTTATGTAATGTAATGTAATGTTATAATGTAATGTTATGTTATGTAATGTATGTATGTAATGTAATGTAATGTATGTATGTAATGTAATGGTATGTATGTAATGTAATGTAATGTATGTAATGTAATGTAATGTATGTAATGTAATGTAATGTATGTAATGTAATGTAATGTATGTAATGTAATGTATGTAATGTAATGTATGTAATGTAATGTAATGTATGTAATGTAATGTAATTAATGTAATGTAATGTATGTAATGTAATGTAATTAATGTAATGTAATGTATGTAATGTAATGTATGTAATGTAATGTATGTAATGTAATGTATGTAATGTAATGTATGTAATGTAATGTATGTAATGTATGTAATGTATGTAATGTAATTAATGTATTGTAATGTAATGTAATGTATTGTAATGTAATGTAATGTAATGTATGGTAATGTAATGTAATTAATGTATGTATGTAATTTATGTATGTATGTAATGTATGTATGTATGTAATGCATGTATGTATGTAATGTATGTATGTATGTAATGTATGTATGTAATGTATGTATGTATGTAATGTATGTATGTATGTATGTAATGTATGTATGTATGTAATGTATGTATGTATGTAATGTATGTATGTATGTAATGTATGTATGTATGTAATGTATGTATGTATGTAATGTATGTATGTATGTAATGTATGTAAGGTATGTAATGTATGTAATGTATGTAATGTATGTAATGTATGTAATGTATGTAATGTATGTAATGTATGTAATGTATGTAATGTATGTATGGATGTAATGTATGTAATGTATGTAATGTATGTAATGTATGTAATGTATGTAATGTATGTAATGTATGTAATGTATGTAATGTATGTAATGTAAGTAATGTATGTAATGTATGTAATGTATGTAATGTATGTAATGTTGTATGTATGTATGTATGTATGTATGTATGTATGTATGTATGTATGTATGTATGTATGTATGTATGTATGTATGTATGTATGTATGTATGTATGTATGATGTATGTATGTATGTATGTATGTATGTATGTATGTATGTATGTATGTATGTATGTATGTATGTAATGTATGTAATGATGTATGTAATGTATGTAATGTATGTAATGTATGTTATGTATGTAATGTATGTATGTATGTAATGTTATGTATGTAATGTTAATCGCTAGTGTAATGTATGTAATGTTGTAATGGTGATGTATGTATAGTATGTATGTAATGTATGTATGTAATGTATGTATGTATGTAATGTATGTATGTATGTAATGTATGTATGTATGTATGTATGTATGTATGTATGTAATGTATGTATGTATGTAATGTATGTATGTATGTAATGTATGTATGTATGTAATGTATGTATGTATGGAATGTATGTATGTATGGAATGTATGTATGTATGGAATGTATGTATGTATGGAATGTATGTATGTATGGAATGTATGTATGTATGGAATGTATGTATGTATGGAATGTATGTATGTATGGAATGTATGTATGTATGGTATGTATGTATGTTGGTATGTATGTATGTATGTATGTAATTAATGTATGTATGTAATTAATGTATGTATGTAATTAATGTATGTATGTAATTAATGTATGTATGTAATGTAATGTATGTAATGTAATGTATGTAATGTATGTAATGTAATGTATGTAATGTAATGTATGTAATGTAATGTATGTAATGTAATGTATGTAATGTAATGTATGTAATGTAATGTATGTAATGTATGTAATGTATGTAATGTAATTAATGTATTGTAATGTAATGTAATGTATTGTAATGTAATGTAATGTAATGTATGGTAATGTAATGTAATTAATGTATGTATGTAATTTATGTATGTATGTAATGTATGTATGTATGTAATGCATGTATGTATGTAATGTATGTATGTATGTAATGTATGTATGTAATGTATGTATGTATGTAATGTATGTATGTATGTATGTAATGTATGTATGTTGTATGTAATGTATGTATGTATGTTAATGTATGTATGTATGTAATGTATGTATGTATGTATATGTATGTATTAATGTATGTATTGTATGTATTAATGTAATGTAGTATGTATGTAATGTATGTATGTATGGGTAAAAAAATGTTGTATGGACGTGTATTATAGTGTACTGTTTTATTTACTGATAATGGTATGTATGTATGCTCAATCATTACTAGTGTATGTAATGTATGTATGGTATGTAAATGTATGTATGTATGTAATGTTAAGTATGTATGTAATGTATGTATGTAATGTATGTATGTATGTATCGTAATGTATGTATGTATGTAATGGTATGTATGTATGTATGTAATGTAATGTATGTATGTATGTAATGTATGTATGTATGTATGTTAATGTATGTATGTTAATGTATGTATGTTAATGTATGTATGTTAATGTATGTATGTTAATGTATGTATGTTAATGTATGTATGTTAATGTATGTATGTTAATGTATGTATGTTAATGTATGTATGTTAATGTATGTATGTGTATGTATGTTAATGTATGTATGTATGTATGTGTATGTATGTATGTATGTGTATGTATGTATGTATGTTAATGTATGTATGTATGTTAATGTATGTATGTAATGGTATGTATGTAATGGTATGTATGGTATGGTATGTATGGTATGGTATGTATGGTATGGTATGTATGGTATGGTATGTATGGTATGGTATGTATGGTATGGTATGTATGGTATGGTATGTATGGTATGGTATGGTATGGTATGGTATGGTATGGTATGGTATGGTATGGTATGTTATGGTATGGTATGGTATGGTATGTATGGTATGTATGGTATGTATGGTATGTATGGTATGTATGGTATGTATGGTATGTATGGTATGTATGGTATGTATGGTATGTATGGTATGTATGGTATGTATGTATGTATGTATGTCTGTGTATGTAATGTTATGTATGTATGTATGTTATGTATTGTATGTATGTTATGTATGTTATGTAGTTATGTATGTTTGTATGTTATTGTATGTATGTTATGTATGTTAATGTATGTATGTAAGTGTTGTATGTAATGTTATGTATGTAATGTTATGTATGTATGTATGTATGTAATGTATGTATGTATGTAATGTATGTATGTATGTATGTATGTATGTATGTATGTATGTATGTATGTATGTATGTATGTATGTATGTATGTATGTATGTATGTATGTATGTATGTATGTGTGTATAGTATATATGTTAATCGCTATATCAGATGCAGTTTGCAGATGTATGCAGGTAGGTAATGAACAAGTATATACGAGGATCATGTGGCAAGGAAAAAACAGAGCAACCGAGCAACCTCTTTCATGGATTTCTCCATGGTTTTCCCTGAGTTTTGAGGTCCCAACTCTCCCAACCTCCAACATTGCTGAGGCGTCTGATTGGGTCGACCTCGAACTCTTGCGAGCAGGGCTTCCAGCTCAGGCGTTCCTCACATCACCACACAATGGACCCCAAATACAATTTTTTCGTATTTTGCACCTTTTGTGTCGCAGCAGCGCCTTTGAAAAACAGCAAAATACAGCAAACACCTCCAATTTGCCTATAGTTATCCAGGTCCAACATAGTCCAACCTTAATAAAAGAACCATCCAAGCGAGTCAGCTGCGGCACGTCACGGCAGGCACGTGGGTCCGGTGGCACTCGCATCCCATCGGATTGGGGCAACGATGATCTTCAGCTCCTTGGATTCGGGATGTCCCGTTCCAGCGCAGGGCAGTGATAAACCTACCAGTGAAGGAAGAACCATCAAATTGGTGATTTTGGGGGATTGTAAAATCTAATGTCAACCCTGGATTAATAAACCCCTAGATTGTTTAATTGGGAGGGTACCATTTAATT